TACAAATACCGGCTGCTTTGCACGCCCCTAGTGGAGACATTTGGTCCCCACGATGTGATGGAAATCTGTTATTTTGACATCGTGCGGACCATTTTTCATGTCCCCACAAAGATCTGTGAATGCAATCAAAAAAGTTAAGGTTGTCATTTTTGAGATTAGGGTTTTGCCCATAGAAATGAATGGAGGATCCCCACAAAGATATGAGTACAGCTCTGTGTGTGCGTGCGTGCGTATGTCTGTGTGTGTGTGTGTGTGTGTGTGTGTAAAAAAAAACTGATATTTTGACATTGTGGGGACTATTTTTCAGATCCCCACAAATATCTGTGAATGCAATAAAAAAAAAACTAAAAACGGCAGAAATCTCTTATTTACTTATGGTTATGGTTTGGGCTGGGTAGGGGTTAAGGTCATCGTGTTGGGATTAGAGTTTGAAATGAATGGATAGTCCCCACAAAGATATGAGTACAGGTCTGTGGGTGCGCCTGTGTGTGTCTGTGCACATATAATGCAGTGTAACTGATGATCTGAATCATGCAGAGTCCTCTGTTCTCCACACACCATTAGGTCGATTCCTATCACCTCTTTTTTGAGGCAGCTGTGTAATTCAAGCGCCACACCGCCAAGCCAGCTGATTGGCTGCTGCGAAACGCAGGAATAATGCCCGGGATTTAAACTAAATATATGAACTGTAGCGAGAAAAAAGACAAAAGGGTTCAGTTGTGCAGCCCAAATCTCACTGCATCGCAGATTTTCCTTACTACCATTATGCAGTTACAGAATGCTCCTCAATCAATCAGGACCACAAGATCATTTACGCTGCTCTATCATATACCGCCCCCTGCTGTTCAAACAATGAATTAGTGTAGCAATCAACAGATAAAGCTTCATTGATTTTGAATGATAGACAGGTCCTCCTTACATCAGGCTTGAAAGACCAGGGTGAGTAAAGACTAGAAACTAACATTTAATACTAGTACTATTAGAGTCAGCTTCTACAAATTTAGTTTTTCAAAAATATAAATAAATCCTGCTGGTTTAAGAGATGTTTCTTTGCTAAAAGGCTGGATTCTTCTCATGCTCATGCTTCTTCCAGGAGAAGTTTCTCCTGCCCTCAAAATAACCCTAAAAACCGAGGCAGCCGGGGGTGCCAAAATTAACGGCAGGGTTCCGTGACGGCGTCAGCGCCAGGCGGCCCTTCGCTGTACCACCGACCAAGAAGAGGTGGACGTGACCAGAGCACGGGCTTGCGGCAGCGGCGAGAGGCAGTAAATATCATAAAATCTCATAAAACGTGTCACCACCCTCCAACTGTTTTCATTAGTAGCAGGAGCCCACTTACCCACACACACAAAGCTTATTCTTAAGTGTAACTGCTCTCCAAGGCCCCATTCAGGCCATGTTTTACAGCCTTAGCTACCTGGATAGCTACCCGCTGCACCATGTACTCCCAACCTGGCTGACCACCCCAGGCTTTTTCAAAATCTCATTTCCTCTCCCCATTTTGCAGAAGCAGAAGACGCTCATGTTCTCCACAGTAGTGGAGGAGAGCGAGAGGAGGAGGTGAGGGAGGAGGGAGATGGAGGAGATGAGGAGGAGTGCAGGAGACTCCTCTCTCCCGCAGATATTTTCAGTCAAAACCGAACAGCCAGATTCAACTAGATGCTTCTTCAAACAAAAATGGCTCTATACCAGGGTTGGGATGTATTATCCAGAAAGGGCCGTTGTGTTGGCGCGTTTTCGCTGCAACTCCCTGATTAGATTACTACTATGAGTACTGATTAGCCGAAGAGTCCTCACACCTGGGTTTGAACAGCTGACCTAAAGCTTATCCCAAGAACCTGCATACACACCGGCCCTTTGCGGATAAGACTGCCCAGCCCTGGTCTACACTGACTGCTGGGAACAGCAGGGTGTGGCTCAGACCAAAATCTAGCTTTAATTAACACTTCTAATTACTGTATCATTCGTGAGAGAAAAGGAAATAGGTCACTTTGTGGTACTTTCCCGGCGTTGCCAGGCGTTTATGAGAATAACCCAGTCTGCCCATTCAGACACCGCTGTTGCCTGCGCATGGTGTAAGTTTAACAGTTGCCAGAGAGATGGATTGTGGGTATTCGGAAGCCAGCCACCACTGGGGAGAAAGAGGAGAACATCTGCAGGGTCCTGGAACACTGCAGCAGCTCTGATGTCGCATAAGCAAAAAGGACTGAACTCTCCGAATATCAGCTTCTAATCAATAGCCGCAGAGCGCCGAAGAGCCGGAACGAGCTGAGAATGAGCGGCGGTCTCTACGGCGAGACGCCTGAGAAGGTGGCCCGGGGAGGCGGACTTACCGTGTGGCTTTCTTCTGAGGGGGGGCCATTCCGCTGTGGCTCGGGGGAGCTGCATATCTGGCGGTGACGCTACGCCGGGAGCAGAGAGTGGAGATTAGGAACATGTTACCGTTAGCAACCAGCAAGGGAGGCATGTAAGGCAAAAGAGGGGAAAGTTAGCAACGGAAAAACGTTTTATTTTTTTAATTTACTTCCTGGTTCCTCACAGGAGACCACACACTGATGTCCCATAATTCCTTAGTAGTTATGCTAATGAGTCAGAAGATAGCGCCTGACCGCGGGGAGGGGTAGGAAATTCCTTCAAATGCAGTCACATCTTAATCACCGCGAGCGTAAGAACACCAGCGCTTGCAGTCACATCCCTGACGAGTCGGACAGGAAGACGGGAAGGCCCAGCGGCACGCCTGACCCTTATTAGTCACGCTCCATTAGGAAACATGCCGAGCATTATGGGTAACATTTCATACAGCAGCAATTACTCACGCTGAATAACTTAGGCCCCCTCTGCTAGAAAACCAGTCACTAGAGATAGAAATATCAGTACAGATTTTGTAATAAAATATTTATTTGGAATATTTAAATGTAACATAATATCCCAATAGGCTGGTGTGTGGCTCAGTGGGCCAGTGAAGGTCGCTGGTTCAAATCTCATTCTCAGCAGAATAGTCACACATCCACTGGGCCTCTGAGCAAGGCCCTAAAGCGCCCCCCTCCCCCCCCCCAACCCTAACCCTAACCGCGTTCTCATCTGCGTCCACATAACAGGATATACGAAAAGAAGCATTCTAACATTCCCGTACTTATGCAGATCAAGCAGCATTTTATTTATTCAGATTTTCAGGCAGGGCTGCCTCAACATTGTCGCCTCATGGTTACACATTCTCTCCGTGTCTTTGTGGCGTTTCCTCCATGCTCAGTTGAATTGGAGACACCAGACTGTCCATAGGTACGTGCGTGTGTGTGAATAGGGTGAGTGTGCTGCCATGGTAATCAGTAATAACATATAGCGCCTTGTACCCGTAGCTTCTGGAAAAGGCTCCAGATGCTCGCAACCCTGCTTAGGACAAACGGGTACAGAATTCAGGATAAAATAGAACCGATTAAATGGATTTTAGGCTGCGTGCTTTGTGTAATCGTTACTGAAGGGGGGCTGAATTGAGGCACCTTTCAGGTCAAATTTAGGGCAGCAAGTAACATGTTCACGCCCCGGGGGGTGTCCCAGTCCGTTATATGAGTATGGTGCCAGGACAGCTAACTGGCGGAGTGCCCCCCCGGGCCCCCAGCGTGCTGGCTAGGCGAGAATAAGCTGGCACTCTTGAGCACTGAGCCTCCACTGTTGTTAACAGAACCATCAGATCACATAAACGGGCTAGCTGACATGGGCCGGGATCCTGCCCCCGCCCACGTCGCCCCCCGCTCAGTACGCTGCATCCCTTCACAATGGACAATTCATGCAGGACGGCCTCTAAATGTATGCCCCCCCCCCCCCCAAATCCCACCCTGAGGCATGAGCTGCAGATAAATCCAATTTATGTCCAAACCTGCAATCAGCAATACCTGGTTGTTCCCACCCCCCACTTTGAAGGGTCTGTCTGGCGTCCTCATAAATGTCACTTCCTCTCTGGCTCTGAGCTGTACCAAATATAGTCTGTGCCCCCACCCCAGACACACACAGGCCAATTCACCCCCATTCATGCCTTTCAGGTTAGACCCCGGCAAAGTGAGACAAACTGCCCCCACGTGAAATATGCCGCTAATGAGCAAACCAGCAAGGCGTCAAACTAACGTAAGAAGGATGTAACATACAGCCTGGGGGGGCGGTGCAGTGCTACCAAGTAGCAGACGCACACAGGCTCAGAAGTTCAAAGAACATCGGCTTTCTAGTTCAGTAAAAGTGGGAGCCTCTTTAATTTAAGCGAGGGGGGTGTGCGGGCGGGCGGATCAACGACCGGAAAGTCAGCGGATCAAACCCCTGGGCCATCAGGCCAATTTGGTCTTTGGGCCCCAAAGCAAGACCCTTAACTGTGTGCTCTGACCCCCACGCTTGTCCATGGAGACCAAGATGGGGAACCTGAAAAGAACACAGTATGAGTATTCTATTTTAATGGAGGCCTTTTCTCTTGCTTCAGTTTAATTTCTTTGAAGATACATACATGGCTTGTCTCTCCCCCCTCGGTGACTGGCTCCCTTGCCTGTGGCCCCCCCTCGTCCCCTCGTGGCCCCTCCTGCCATGGTAGGACAGGGAAGCAGTGTGGTCTGAGGCCCCGGGATCCCTGGCCCAGTCGTAGGTTTGCCGCTCACAGCTGATGCGCTAACAAAGGCTAGCAGAGCGGCGCGTGGCTGTCCTTCAGTCTGTCTCAGCCATGCCCCCCCCCGCCCCCCCCAGACTCTGCGTGTGGCCTAGAAGCTAGGAGCGATAACCGTGACAGCAATCCAGCACTGTAACTAATGCATGGGGGGGCATTGTGAGGGGGGGGGGGCTGTGAACCAGTCTGAGGGTGGAACGACACCCCCCCCCACAGTCAGACCCAGCTCTTCTAAGGGACCCTGTGCTGCTTCCTAAACATGCCAGAACACCAGACTGTTGCAGTAGTAACATCCCACTTGTGTATAATACAGGTACTATATCATTGTTAATATATAACCATCATAGAAACCAGGAACTAAATCCAGCATCACTGTTAATGGGTTTGTCTTTCTGTAATGAATATGAACTGGCATCCTGTCTAGGCCCCCCTGCCTTGTGCCCTTAGCTGCCTAGGAAAGGCTCTGGCCCTCCCCGTAACTGTGACCAGGAGAAGCAGTCATGCTATGGATGGATGGATGGATGGTTGGATGGATGGATGGATGGATGCATGGATGGATGGATGCATGGATGGATGGATGCACAGATGATAAATGTCTTCCCGGGAAGGACTCCGTCCACCTGTTCCTCAGTATGAGGCACCAGGAAGCCCTGATGGCTCCGAAAAAGTGGGATTGGCCAAGCGATCGGGCTTTTTGGGGGCCTCTTTGACCCATTTCTGATGAAGCTTCGCTCTGACCCAAGCCGTCAAAACAATAGTCTTAGGTTTATAGGAATAAAACAGCTCTTACAGCTCTGAGTCGCCGAAACGCATCCCTACCATTTAAACCGGACCCACAAAGAACCTGCTTCTACCCATTTTATAATGAATAATGGAAAATAAATCCATTTAAATGATAAGCAGCATTTTTCTTACTTTGGTTAAAACTCGGTTCCAGACGAAATTACCACAATAATTACTTTTATTTAAAATGACCCGCTGAGACTGGCAACTTTCCCTTTCCACTGGCAATTAAAACTCAGCATAATTAATTGTTAGCAAGAGGAGCGTAATTGGGTGTTGCGAATGGGGCACTGTGAAATCCATTACGGCGTCCGCGCCGTACGCAATCGGGCCGGGGGCTTTGCGAGAGAAGGTGCCGGAAAAGGGTCCCCGCAAAAGGTGGATTTTGGGGGCCTGAATTAAAGAGTGTTCAAGCTCGGTGTAAGACGATGATTGGCCCGAGCCCCCCCCCCCCACCTCCTCGATCCGAGTCCCTTCAGCATCATTGCACTAAACGGGCAGGTCTTGTTGCAAAGATAGCAATTTCCAGGCTGATTCATGGAGGCTGCCAGTCTGCTGGAATACGTCTGACACCCGGGAGAAACGGCTCAGCTGCCACGTGGCAGATAAGCGGCCCTCAGCTGGCATGCTGGCCCGCTGTGTATGATGGGCGCGGGCCGAGCCCCCCGTCCACGTGGCACGCTCTGCTTCCCCCGGCCCGGAATCAGGGCAGAGGAATGTGCTGCCATCACGGGGGAGGGGGCGAGCCATCAGAGCCCCCCCCCCCCAAGTCCAGATTACCGGTTTCTGCTCAGAGACCCCCGCAGACCCAATGGGCCAGTAAGAATCCAATCCTACGCTACCACTTTCTCGTCTTGAAAACTAGAGGCGCCGGTATTCTCCTTCCACAACCCCCCCCCACGTAGGCAGAGGAAGACGACATCCAATCATAACTGTGGGGAGAACCGGGAATGCTGAGGTTACCATGACACATGGCGGCATGTCCGAGGGGCTGCACCTCATACTGTGCCACTCCTACAGCGTCTTTACAGTATCGGAACAGGACCTGGCCGACTGGATGGACTGTTTGGATGAAAGAAAGTAGATTTGGAGCTGGGGTGGTGTGTGTGTGTGTGTGTGGGGGGGAGGGTGTCCAATGACTCAGGCAATGATATATTACAAAAGAGAAATTGTGCATGTGCTGATGCAGACTGCAACATTTATAGTAATCAGTTATGGTCATCTTCTATTTGGTGGGGGGGGGGGGGATTTTGCTGCCATGGTAACCATGGAACACAAGCCAATCACAGTCTGTAACTGTCGACAGGATGTGCTGAGATGTCCTGAGAAGACCACATCCAGAGTATGTTACACACAGACCAGCTCTGCGCCCCCACCCTCCAATTTATGGTCACAAGGGAGAGCAAGGGAGGTTTATGGTCACTCTGCTCCCCCCCCCCCCCCCCCCCCCCCCCACCCCGCCCACCCCGGGGGGGGGAGAGGGGGGGCGCGGCGTGCCCAAAAAGGGGGGGGGGCTGGCCAGGTGAAGTCAAACTAACTGAGACAGACGGCGGGTCTGAGGCAAGACTGTAGCTGGGAAACCGCCGGTGAGTCTGGCTCAGCTCCTGGAACGTGAGCGCGCCGCTTCCACGACGGTACCGACAGAGCCCATGTCTACATTTACTCAGCTCACTAATCTACACCCTCACTAATCGACACCCTCACTAATCTACACCCTCACTAATCTACACCCTCACATCTCCCACCTGTGAGATTTCCCTATTGGCTTAAATTTGCAATTGCTTGAAATGAAAGAAATATGTTTTAAAATGATCCACAATGCTTGGAGCATGACAAGAGGTCTGTCTTGGTGACTCTTAACAGGCTTCAGGACCAGTGGGGCTCAGAAGGTCCTCAAAGCCAACCAAAGCCCCCCCCCCCCCAATTTTTCACTTGCCATTTTTTTGCCAAAGACATAACATCAACTATAAATTTTTATTTTGGCTCCTCAAAAAACAAACAAAAAAACTGTCATTACAGTACACTTAAAAGCTCAGTTATATAAATCACTGTTGTTTTTGAATCTACTACTGTGAAGGATATTAGCTGCCAAAGCAAAAGACAATGATGTATATCTGATATCTGGTGTTTCTGTTTTAGTTCCCTCAGATGAAACAAGACCGTTATAATTCAAAGAGGAGGTTTGCTGAAGTTCAATAATAATAAATTACAATAAATAGTAAATTATAATAAATTATGATAGATGTTTTCTGCAGTTACTCTCTCCAATTTCAGGAGAAATCATTTAGACAACAAATGTACCCTACAAAGTCAAAAATGGGATTTCCGATGTTTCTGCCAGGAAGGCTAATGAGTCAGAAATCAAACAAGATAGAATCATTCAGAGTATTAGTCTGTTATTGGAGAAATAAATGGAGAAAGAAGTGAAAGGTAACAAACTGGGGTTACAGCTACCTCGACTGCATTTCCTGTGACTTGTGGTAACTCGGTGGCGCCGCCCCAGTGGCCTGATGTGCGACCTGCTGCTGGAGTTCCACGAGGGACTGATAGTACTGCTGCTGTTGCTGCTGCTGCTGCTTGTAGCGGGACAGGCTGAAGAAAAGCCCCAGGATGGTCTTCAGATTGCCATTCCAGATCTCTGTGAACGGCACGGGATACGCACAAGCCTCAGACCACCAATGGTTAGACGGACCAGAAAGAATACAAACAAAAAAAAAGGAGCTTTTATGCTTAAACCACCGAAAGCAGCCCACAAAAATGAGGGGCGACCAGGAAGGAAGCCACATAAATTACTCAGAGCTCCATCACTGCAGTGTTTCATCACCCCCCCACCGAGAAACTGACCTATCTATTAAATCATCAAACAAATGACCCCTAAATACTGCAGCCTGCTGGGGTGCTACTCAAAATCTCTGACCCCAGGGGCCCAAAAGTCAAGTCTTAGCAAATTAGGGGTTAATATAAATGCCATTTCTCAGGCTGAGGTTAACACTGAACGCGTGCTGGGATTTTCACACATGGTAATGTCTCGAGTTTACAGAGATTTACATGATAAACAAAAAAGAAATATATAAAATAAACAGCCAGGGGCAGCTCTGTTACTAAAAACACCTTGGTAATGAGAGAGCTCAGAGGCCAGACTCGTTAAAGCTTATAGGAAGGCCACAACATAGGAAGGTTACTACCCCTGTGTACCTAATAAAGTGGGTTCTCCTCTGTACTAGCTCTGTGTACCTAATAAAGTGGGTTCTCCTCTGTACTATGTGTATCTAGTAAAGTGGGTTCTCCTCTGTACTATGTGTATCTAGTAAAGTGGGTTCTCCTCGGAACTAGCTCTGTGTGCCTAATAAAGCGGGTCCTCCCTGGTACTAGCTCTGTGTGCCTAATAAAGCGGGTCCTCCCTGGTACTAGCTCTGTGTACCTAATAAAGTGGGTTCTCCTCGGAACTAGCTCTGTGTGCCTAATAAAGCGGGTCCTCCCTGGTACTAGCTCTGTGTACCTAATAAAGTGGGTTCTCCTCTGTACTATGTGTACCTAATAAAGTGGGCTCTCCTCTGTACTAGCTATGTCTGTCTGGTACTACCTAGGTGTACCTAATAAAATGGCCATAGAGTGTCTTGCAAATGGCTCTCATTCATAGTTTCTTTACATTGAACTACAATGGGCAAATTCTTTTCTTTTAAGTAAATAGTTCCCTTATGCATTCTATGCTTTGACATTCCAGGAGACTATGGATCCAGTCAAACACATACTTATCTTCGTCACTTGATGGGGGTGTGTTAATTTTAAGAGGAGAGTTATTATTCTTTTTAAATCCTGAGCCCTGTAGCTGATTATCACGAGTTTGTTTTCTTGGAAAAGAGTGATGTGCTATCTCTGCATGTCCAACAATCCTTTTCTTTCCTGACAGATCATTTATTACTGAGCATGGGGACAAGAGCCAATTGAATTGGGTCACACTTTGTCTGTAAGGAGAAGGGTAACCAGTTCAGAAGCAGCATATATACCCAAAAAGGCCTATTTTCACAGGCTGTGACTGGATACAGTGAAAGTCTGGATTTCTGTCGAGCATCAAGTTTCAATCCCCTGTTCTTAAGGGATGTGAATTAGTGAGACCTTCATCATTTGCCCCTTTTTCCTCATTGCATCACCCCCAAGACGCCCCGCGCCGACACCCCCGGCGTGCCTAATGCAGCTGCCGACCGAGGCTTCGCACAAGACTTCTGAAATCCTGAAAAAGTGTCTCCTCTCTGTAACAGGCAGCATTTGACAAAATAACTCCGAGCTGCCTCCCTTCCACGATGATGATGGAAAGGCCGTCGACAGCTAACCGACGGTAATTGCAGAGCAGTTTCTTAATGATCCGCGGCAAGCAGCCGGGGTCCTTTTAGAGCCATTGTCTGGTGTGGCGTTGGAGATGTCAGTCCCGACAGCCCCCGGTGGATTGAGGCGTCGTCGGCGATTGGCAGAGACAAGCGGCACCAACCTTACCTTCGGCGGAGAGGCCCTGCGTTTTGACTCCCCGGGCTTCCAGAAAGCTGAGACAGACGTCCACATTCTCGATCTGAAAGACAGCGAGCAGAGACCCTCAGAGCTGGGCCGAGGACGGGGCCGCACTTGGGAAGTACGAGGCGAACAGATGGACCACCTGAGGTGCGTCTTCAGAACCACCGGGGCCCGACCCGTGCGTGGCCGGGCATCTGCCACGTGTCCTCTGGCCGCGGCACCGTGGGACGGGCACACAGATATAAACACCGGCCTACAGGTGCCAAACCACAGCAGGATCCCCAGCAGAGGGATACAGGCCCTGCTTGATGAGACCTCTTTGGCTTCCTGCATGCGTTGTTTAAAAACCGCGTCTTTCTTCCCATCCTGGCTTTACAACAAAGGTCTTTTACGGCACAGCCGGGAGGGAGCACGAGGCTGGACTGTGTCGCAGTCACCGCCGGCGACGTCCTCTGTGCCGGGAAGCCGTCCAGCGCTGGTGGAGGGTAATGGACTCCCCGTTGGTTTTGAGGCCATTCTGTCACCTCGCAGAGTCCTGGCTCTCAGCTAACCCACGGAGCCAACGTGTGACAGGAGAACTGAGACCGAATGGCCGCCGTGCGACGCCAGGGCTGGGCTGTCAGCCTGGGGAAGGCCTGACTGGTACCAGAGGGTTTTATAAGGGACCAGCTAGGCCCTAGGTCCAGTGCGAGGAGGAAATACAAAAAAAAAACAAATCCCAATTTCATTGTTCCCCAAATTTGCAAAATGGAAATGGAACATGGAAGAGCTGGCAAAGCATTTTTAAATACAATGGTTCACATCATTTTACTTCATCGGTCATTTGACTGAAGAAACAAATAGGAAAATGTACAGGCTCTTGGCTTTCTAAAGACCTCTGGGAGTGACTGACAAGCCCAGAGCCTCTGAACAGGGGCAGTATAAATATTGTATATTGGTTCAAAACAAACCAAAATGAGATGTAATCAAACAGACCTGTGTGGAAATGGCTCCTTTCTCGGGACTGATGGTTTAATTACAGTTTCCAAATATTTAGATTAACTTCTGGTAAATCCCACGGCACTTATGTACCAAAGGAAATCAGCATCTGCTTTCAATACAGCTACATAAGAGGACTCGTGGTTCTGTGATGAAATATTTAATGAATGACACAAGTTTAGGGTGCTGGCGTACCTATTAAAGCACAGCAGAGAACACTATGACTGGGAGGCAGGTTTCCCAGCACATAAACGCAAAAAGAAGGATGGTAATAAAATACCCCTAGGGGGCGTCGTTGGGAGCCATGTGTGTCTTAGTGAGCGATCACATGGCATGTTTGTGTTCATGGGGAGAACAAACCTTTGAGCTGGGGAACGGGGCGGAAACTGCCTAAGGATGGAACAAGAGAGTGACGGTAAAAACCAATGTGGAAAGAAGCCACTGTTTCCCAAAGCCAGGCCCTGCACCACACCCCCAAAAGCAAAAAGAAGGAGTCTTGGGAATTCTTGGGTTCTGACCTCCGCCAGATTTGGTGAATGCGGTGTGAAGCTTTTAGCATTAAAGTTAAAATGCTGAGTGAGCGTTTAGTGTGTATGGAAAGCACAATTCAGCCACAGAAATTACTCAGAACTACAAAAAACATCTGAGCAAAGCTTCATTGGATTTATAACGACACTATTTACGATGCAGCCAATTACAGCCGGATTTCGACTAAAAGGAGTGTTAATGTTTTGCTACATTTTGCTATATAAACCCCAGTATTACTGGAAGAAAATGAGACCACAAAATTTTGGGTTGTTTATAATGGAGGGATTTTTCCCAAATGAGAGTGACTGGGACAGCAAAATACTCAGCATCCCAGTTTCCACAGAAACACTCCTATTGTTAATATGAACACTACTGATTTTGAAGTGTTCACATTTGCTGATGGAAATTTTATGTATCTAACGGGAAATGTGTTGTTGATTAAGGTCGTTAATTTTCTTCTGAGTAATTAAATTTGAAGTTTGTTAATTTTCAGTCACAATCAGTGTAAGTCACAATCTACTATAGCATCGTTACAAATATAGGTACTGGAACATGTGAAATACTTAAGCTACAAAAATGCATGTTGGAACAAAGTATCCCATTCTAAAAATATCAGCTAACGGTTCTTGAACACAATAATAGAACCACACTGATGTTTTGTTTGGAAAGTACCACTTCTTGGATAGAAGTTAAGAAAAACTAATGACCCTTTGTTTACTTACTGATGCAGTTATTCTTTTCATGACACCAGCATTTACTATTAGAGGATTATAAAGAGATTCCGGAACTTTAAATATACCACTTTTATATGGTTCTTCTTACAAAATAAATATTTTAATCGCTGCATTAAGTGAACACTGCGATGAGCGGTTCGCTCCTGTAAATGGAATACTTGATGCAAACATTTATCCATCCTTTCAACTAAATCACGAATGGAATTGGCTGTATAGTTTAAATGGACTTTTCCACAGATGCTACAGTCTGACAAAAGTCTCACATAAACACAGACCCTGGCCATTTCCACTCTTGGCAACCACACAATAATAACTACACCATTGGTGGTCCACACAGATCTGAAAACTGCCAAGCTCAATGTTGGCACCACTCGTAGGGTGCAGAAACAAATGTAATAAAAAAACACCAAATATTACCTAAGTTTAAATCAAATAATATGCTCTTAAAACCTCATTTTACATGGCAGCAGCATCATTTGGCTGGTGAGATGCTGTTGATGGGCCTCAACCTTTTGGAATTTGTTGCCAACGGTCCATCCCTAGGCAACAGCTTCCCAAACGAAGAGGAGGGAGAGAGAAGAGAAAAATGCAGACGAGGTTGCGGTGATGGCCCATAAATTCCTGAGGCTTATCCGGTCCAATTAAAGACCAAAATAATCCATACTGACACACCGCTTCTTCAAAGGGGCCCTATGGCATGTATGGGTATCAAGGCATTCCACACATTGTGGGGTCGGGTTTTGAAACCCACGGACCGACGGGACCTTGTCGTCATTTACGCGACTCAGAGTGCGGTGCTCTTGCCGGGCGTGGGCAGCAGGTGGAGTAGTGGCTGAGGTTATGGATTTTAAGAGGATGATAGCGACAAAAAATATGAACAGTGAAGGCGGAAGGGCCCCTCTCCCTGTCTTTAAGCTTTCAGCACCCCTTTCGCAACTGCCCACGGGTGACTCAGTGACTCCTCTCGAGTGTGCTGGTTAAGTGCCCCCTCCCTCATGAGAGAGGCACCCACACAGAAAGGACACCCGACGATTATTGCCTGGTAAGTCCCTGCTGGTTTATAAAACCACTTTGCTGTAGATATCCATGCAAAAGAGCTTTATGTGTGACAAAGGAACAGAGACACCCATTGTCAAAGATTAATTGAAACAGACCTGTAATCAATAAACCATTAAAATTAACATTAAGATGGGGACATTCGAAGGGTACAGCGCTCTGTATTGGCGGGACATCGCCCATCAAGCATGAACTGAGGGAGTAATTGGCAGCTTGATAAATTCTCCATGCAGGTGTGAGGAAGTGAACACACTGGGATCTGACAGGCATGTCTCCGCACAGAGATGGAGAAACGTCCCGCAGAGCAGTAGAATGATGTAGTTCTGCGGTCAGCATGACTCCCTCACCATCTCCAAGGCCAAGGACCAGTTCTCCAAAGCAGAAATCTGTCCATCAAACCGCCACCTGGGTGGACGAATTCCTCTCAATAAACATCCCCCTGGCCCAGTGGCTACCCCCCGCCCCCCCCATCTCACTCTGACTGCAGTAGGGGTTAAGCATGACCGTTACGCCCCAAGTCTAAGCAGCAGCCTTTGGGGACACCACATTTATCAGAGCAAATAACCGCAGTAGCACTAATATGAGCCAGGGACACTCCTGATGGCGAAAACGGCCGTTCGCTGTGAAGCTCATTCTCAACTCGTTTAATTTCACTCAGGTCGAACCTCACCAAAGTGATTCTGCACACAATTAACCAAAGTCAAAGTCATTTGCATGCAAATCTATAAAACCAACATTTTTAGTTTTTATTCTTTTATATGGATTTCTATTGTAGCATCATATGTGGGCCTGTTATTTGAGATATTTTGAGACGGATATTATATTAGATATTAGAATTAATGTGAAATATGAAAGAGAAGAATCGTTAACTCATTTTGACCTTTAGGGACCGTCACATACAAACACCATTAGTTTCACTTTCACACGTGTCTGCCAGAGACGGTCCCTTAGCATGGCTGTTTGCCTGGAAATGTTCAGACGTACCCTGAACGATGGAGGGAGGTGCAGCGTCTGCAACACCCCCCAAATAACAAGCAGCCCAATGAAAACAGACATTATTCATCGATGCTGTTAGAAGCCCATCAGAATGCACTCCATCAGTCAGTCTAGCCAGAATCACAGCCACAAAAAAGCAGAAACCTCCAACCTGCCAGCTCCAACACCATGGTGGGGGGGGGGGCAGATCATGACTGAAAAGACTGAGAGATCCAGGTGAACTACCCCAAAACCATCTTGTTAACATGACAGATGTTCTGGAAATAAGGAAGAGTTTTAAATAAATATCCATGTAACTGACTGAAGTGAAGGACAGATCAGTCTTTCACAGATCTGTCTATCACAAACTCTTCTGCTACAGATTTGTCCTTCTCAGACTCTTCCTTCCTGGACCCTGGATCCTGGATCTTTACAGTCCTTCAAAGACTGGTCCTTCACAGATCTGTCCTTCTCAGACCTATGCCACACAGATCTGTCTTTTATAGATCTGTCCTTCACAGACTCATCCTTCACAGATCTGTCTTTTACATATCGATAGAAAGCTTTTGTGGATCCCTAGAATGACAGGTTTCCAAACCTGTTGGATTAGGAGTTTGGAGTGACCCTGGAGTTTGGGAGACAGTTTCCTGGAAGAACATCGATACACAAGACAAAGTCCACCATATCTGCATATCTTCAGTCCTTACCAGCCACACAGATGGTAAGCCACTCTTCACAGACATATGTTTGGGCATTTGAGTGCTTGAGATCTTTATAGAAATAACTAGGGCTCTATACCAGTCCCAGGACCCCCCTGAAACCAGCAGGCTGGGTCACTAACAACAGGACATTGAATGAGACATTGACAATATACCAGAGGAGCACAAATCCTGACCAAGATTATGTTTTACCCAGTCAGTTGAGTATGAAGAGTGACAGTCACAGAGTACTCAACTGGTTGATTGAAACAAAATCTTGGTCTGGATTTGTACTTTGTGGACCTGAACTTTCCACCTCTCCCTTATACCCTCTCAGTGCTTTTCACCCCTTCTTCTCCCTGGACCTACAGCTCAGCTGTTTTGTTCAGCTCACATTTAAAAACACAAACACATTAATTAAGCACATAACCTGGCTGCATACAGGGGCGGGGCTACAGAGCCACTGGCCCCAGCTGAAAGCTGATTGGCCCCTTTTCCTTTTGATGAAGATTTTGTTCCCCTTCAATTGACCGAACATTGCCATACTGGCTCAAAGTGAACAGAGCGTGCGGCGCCGATCGTGAACACCCGCCAACACCGGCGGGAAAATAAGAAGGCCGAGTGGCCCAATGCATGGTTCTGACCTGCAGCGCTCCACACCGACGGCTCTTGTCGCATTTGTAGACCACATGCAGACACCTCACGCCATTACTGTGTTCTTGTTCCACTAACCCCACCCTTGATGCCAAGCGACTGCTGCTCTTTTGGTTATTAAATAACACCAGGGGCAACGTTTGAGGTCCACAGAGCTCCCCACGGAATGGGGGCGGTCTGCAAGCCAGCATAGCCGGCTCATACCCTGCGACATATGCGATCCGCCCCACAAGCATATGCATCGCGGTGTCATGGCAACGAACGGCGACCCCGCCGCACACGATCAGTGGTGTTGCTAACTCAACAGTTAGCTACTCCTGCTGCTCCCAGCCTGAAATTTAGCCTCATTTGCCTCAGTTTGAGATTAATTAGCTCTCCCAAGAGCCACCGAATCAATGGAAAAAGTTTATCATGCATATCATTTGCATCTCATCTTCATGTCCCGCTCACAGCATCTAACCCAGGCGCAGCGACAGCTGGGGGAGCAGTACTATGGCCTCCCAAATCAGGGGTTACAAGCTTGATTCACACCCCCGGGGTGTCAGATGTGATTCCTGCCCACCTCCCGCTGTGTGTGTAGAGTTTATGGAGGACCAAGGAGGCCTGCGGTTAAGACAAACTGGTATCTCCACATCGTCCTTGGTTTCTGCCCGGAGATACACCGGTCTCCCATCCATACCTGCCCCGTGCTTCCTAGAATAGGCTCCGAAACCCTGTGCTGGAACAGCGGTTCTGGGAAAGTGAGCGATTGATGCTTAACAGCCATTTTTTAAGCTGGGTTTCTAAGCAGTCTACTCTGCTCTCATTAGAATCGGCGAGAGACCCAGTAGTCTGCCTACAGAGGCGAAACAGCAGAACAGCATGCTCACATCTCAAAGGGAACGTCTCCAGTAGGTGACTTGAGTGATGAATTCCCCCACACGCTCTTCTACCAAGGTGACCTCTGGCCAGAAATAATGAGAACCCCTGCAGAAACTGCCATTTCGCTCTCAGTCCACCCCGTCCTCTCCACCACACCTCTGCCATCTCACTTCCTACCCAGCTGTCGGGGTCAAAGGGCACCCAAACAATCCATCCGAAGGTGGAGCTGGCCCATATCCGGCCCAGGAGAGCCCAGTGGTTATGTCACTGGGGCCTTACCCCCAAGTACAGAAATCCCGCTGGTTTACTGAGGGACGCAGCTCTATCTGCCCTGGACCACGACTGGCAGCTTGAAAATAAACACCAAAAAAAAAAACACTGACCTAGCAAAAGTAATCATCTGACAAGAAGGACGACCTGCATGTGTTTGGGGAGCCATTAAAGTAAGACTCAGGGAACGGGATCAGAGAAAAAACGGCAAGCGTGTTCAGAACTTGGCTCCAGCCTTCTACTGCAGCACCGTGCTGACTGCGAGTGCCTGAGAACTGATTAACTCGTTACCGGCTCCATTAATTACAGGAAAATACAGAGCAGAGCAAGAACTGGCTTAACGAACTCACCGGAGTATCCCGTCAGGTGCGAAAACATCCTTTTTAGCAATAATAATTTGAAGGAATATTTTTGCCTGCCAAGACATCTCACCTTCCGATGGAACGGGACCGAAGCATGCGCGGCGTACGGTCAGACAACGCACGTTGCGGCGAGAGTGGCAGACTCACCATTTGCGATTGGCTCCTGGGACAGCCATTGATGTCTTCCACCTTTTCATTCGCTGGAAGTTCAGGGAGGAAAGTGTTAGCTGGTGAGGGGAATGCAAGGACACACTGCGGTGGGGGAAAAAAAAGGAAAGATCGAGCCGGGGAGCCAGTGCTGACACCAGGACGGAGGACGGTGCCTGTCTGACGACCCGTGTAAAGTTTTGAGACAGTCCCGGGTAGGGGGGGGGGGCGTGTGGAATGGGGAGGAGGGGGTAAATCCAGGGCTCTCCAGGCTCCCTAAAGAGCACACATGGGAGACACATGCTTTAATAGAGCCCACAAAGTTTACTAGCCGGCTGGGCACACGCCAGCTCCGTAGATCACCATTGGCTGATGCAGGAGGGGGCGGGGCCACACCGTCCACTCTCTGGCTGAATACCGCAGCCAATCACTATGCATTCTAGCTCACTGCATTGGGGACTATGAGGCAGCCCCTTTTTTCTGGGGTGGGAGAATGTGTGTCCATGTACTGCAGCGTTAATAAGGATGTTCTGATCCTGCATAAGTCTGCAGATAACAGCTCCTGGAAAACAGTCAATGTGGGGACACGACCTTTTCCAACTTTTAGGAGAAGGAAGTTTTCTTGGGATGGGTTTAAGAATCCTTTATCACATAAAATAGCACATACGTGAAGCTCATGTCGTTTCGCGAGCAAGTGAACAGGGCATGCATTCAATGACATGCAGGGACCCACCTATGATCTGGATGATCTCCGCCAGTAGGACGCCATCGGCGATGTCCTGTGTCAGGTCCTTGATAAGCCGCGGGCAGCCGGATTTGGCCAGGAAGTGATTGGCCCAATCAGTGTAGATCTGTGTAGGACAGAGAAGACGAGGCATTGAGGAAAGCTGGACAGACACTGGCATCTAATCTGGAATGAATTAATCTTAGAGGAGGGGTCATAGTGGTCTAGGGATCAGACCACCCAACATGTGTGTGGCTCAGTGGGTTAGGACCCTGTGATCTCACTCCGAAGGTTGCTAGTTCAAATCCCAAGACTGACAGAGAGATTTTACCATCGGGCCCTTAAGCAAAACCCTTAACCTCCAATTGCCCCAGGGACTGATTGACCCCCACTTTTCAAAAAAAAAAAAAAAGCATGTCACTTTGCATAAAAGCGTCTGCTTTTAATAATCAGAGTCCCCCACAGAGATAGGCTCATTAAACATCACATGACGTATGAAATCACCTACCAGAGATGACAAAAGAAGAAATAAACCGAGCACAGAACACTACTGCTCTTTATACCAGCCAGAAGTCCTTCTTATAACCTCTGGATAAACTCTCCTTCCAACACTGTCTATGCAACGTGTCAGATCTATGATAAAGACAAACCCATTAACAACCCAAAGTTCTGCAGATACCACCTGCTGCGTCGGTCTAGACGTGGTTGGCTGTGCTAAGATCTACATCACAATGATAACAAAGAGGGAGGAGACTCGTACATCGTCACGCTCGTTAGGGGGCCCGGTTGTGTGAAGGCAGAGGTCACCGTTGTAAAATCAGCGTGCCGTTGATTAACGGCCCGCCGTGAGCTGCAGTTGGAAGGCCTGCTTTTCACCAGCCCCAATTAAGCACATTTTTCCTCTCCTTGGGGAAATGCACATGCCGCCCTTCAAACATCCCAGAATTCAAAGGGTTATCTGTTGTGGCTTGGTGCCCCCCCCCACCGCCAAAAGCCAAAAGCCGCGAGGATGCCCGCCGTCGGCACTGCACATCGGAACGCAGTCCCAACCACAGCTACGCAGTCCCATTAACCCCCCC